ATAGATATTGTGGTTTATAGAAGAGAGTCAGAATTCAGATCAATAAGGTGGCTGATAAATTCAATTGTTTCTATGTGCATTTTGAGTATATCAATTTCAACCAGGAATAATAAAAAATTTTAGTCAATGTTTTTATATCTTCTCTTGTATAATACAAATTATTTAAATCGATTATGAGAAATTACTAGGTATGATTTACGTGCCAAACGTATTTGTAATTTTTTTTTTGTTTTATTAAAAATCTTGAAATAAAATTAAAAATTATTATTTGTTTTAGAAGATTATCGAAAAAAACAACCCAGCACAGTGGGGTGGCGGCACAGTGGGGTCGTGGCATAGTTGGGTCCAGTATAGTTGATATCTGACAGTGATTAAAATCACTATCATAAAAAACGCTTTGATGAAAATCTATAGATAGTGTTTAATTAAAAAAAAAAATTTGTTAAAATAGCATATTTTTGAATGTGGTAGCCATTTGCGCATAGAAGATAGGTCGTCGGTACAAATTTTTTTTTTCATTTTATAGTACATAAAATAAGCTTTAATTTGATATATGTTTGAAGGACGCAGTATTTCCGGAACATTTTCAAAAATTAAGTTGAAAAAGTTAATTTTTGTAAAAAAGTTGCTATTTTAAATCCCCCCTAATGAGCAGGTTAAGTGATAGATTTTCAAAAAAATGATATCAAATGAAAGGTAAATATCTAAGGTTTTAGTATGAAAAAAAATTATGTTGATTTGTTGATTTTTCAAAAAGTTATAGAAGTTTTAAGAAAAAAAAGTGAAAAAATTTCGAAAATTAGCGATTTTTAAATTTGTAATTTTTTTGGATATTTCCCCCATTTGCGGGAAACGAGGGAATTTTTTTTCAATTTTTAAGGATTATGTCTTCAACTAGATACGATTTGTGATCTTTTGACGTATTTTTGAAAGAAATCGGTCCAGTGAGAGCTGAGAAAAAGTGGCAACAGACATAAAAAAAAAAAAAATAAACATCATAGTAAAATTAATACCTTCTCCGCTTCGCATCGAAGCTAAAATTATTGTCACAGTTTTGTTTGTTTAAAATTTTTGTTCAACACAAGTGTACATTTAATATTGAATTAATTTTTTGACAGAAATAAACAGGACAATACATATTTAAAATTAAAACAAAATTAAAATTATTAAAAATATTTAACTCAAAAAGCCAAAAAAAATTACTTCTTTCAGTATCAACATTTCTATTATCAACGCTAAACACATACTGACACGCTGACCGAAAAAACTCCCTTATAGTGATCTAATCACCTAGTGACGTCATCACTAAATAATATTATCACATTTTGCCAATCTACACTGGCGTTATATAAAAAATACATAGTTCATGAGATAAGAAAATATATTATTTTGAATATCTTTGTGATTGTCTCAATTAATTTTCGTTAATCAGAACACACCTTTGAAATTTTAGTATTTTAAAAGCAGTACAAAGTTTCTTAAAACTGTAACGAAATACTTGAACTTTCAACTCAATACTATAAAACATTTGAAAGATAATATCAAATGGGTTTATAAGTCCTCCGGGATCTGAATATTGTTCGGTTAAGCAATCTAAGTTTAATAAAACCGGACCACGCACGTGGGAATAAGTTGACAAAAAATGCATTCTTAAATCGTAATTCACGTGCCTTTATATCAGAGGCGATTGACAACTTTGCAATTTGTAATCGTAACATGTAATACATATCTATACATGTAATAAATAGATAGAATCAGTTCGCTGTGTATTCAAATAATTCACGATAGATTAATTTTTGAGTCATGCAAACAACGAACCTTTTTATATTAATAGTCGTATGATTATATTTTTAGTCCCCGATTGTATTTCCAAAGGATATATATTAGTTTTAAATTTTAGTTTTTTATAAAATATTGAAAACAAAACTTTTTTTTAGTTGTTTTCAATGTTTACAGTGTTTTTTTAACGGTATTGGAATTTAATCTCCAAGTCCACAAAAACCACCAAACGGTTTTACCGTGAAACTAAAAGACACTCTGAACGAATAGTCAGCAAAACATAAAAACACGCCCACTACTCAACCATGTTTTTATTAAATAAGGTTGAACAAATTGTTTTCAAAATCCTCAGCTTCTTGTTGTTAATTTGTTTTCTCTAAAAACAATGCCAAAGCTTATGACCGTCTTTTAAACTTGTAACTATTCATCCAAATCCAAATTAACAAACGTTCATTGCGTTATTACTTATTTCACGTTGTCAGAAGATAAATATTTCTACCTCGTAGCTTTTTGCGATAAAGACGGTAAGTCTGTTGTATTGCGGTAATAATATATACTTTTTTCCGCACTCAAGTTTTAATATGCTTTAATGAAATTATTAATGACAGTTGAAAGTATAAATTTTCTTACGAAATGCAATAACGTACTCGTTTTAAGTTATACAAATTGACAAATATTACGGCCGCTGTCATCGAGAAAGCATTTTGGCGATTATTTAAGCGTGCTGATCGAGACAAAGGGAATGTTGGAGACAAGTAATGGTTTTCGGTAGTGCAGATACTCTTAACGGCCGTTAGAACTTGGCGTGAGCAAATGACAATAATACCACCGTCTCTTTATCGTCTCGTTGCCTCATTGTCTAATTACCATCATATTAACGGTAAAATGCGTCTTTTGTTTTTCCACTAATACCTTTTATCTGCGTTAACCTCAAAAACCGCATTTGACATAATTCGCTAGTAAACTTGCGTCTGTTTATTACTTTTGACGACAACGAGCGAGTCATGGGCAAAAGGAAAAATGAAAATAATGATAACGACCGGAGTTACAAAGAAACTTAGCCGGGCAACCATTTCGACTTAGATATTACATGGAACGGAAACATAAACAGCTGACCGTCATATTCGTGTACTACAGATAACGACCGATTTAATGTTGCACCGTAGAAAAATGTTTTTTATTTTTATGTTTTTAAATGCACGCGGTTCTTTAATTAAAATTTCATTATTCAGCAATAAAATGCTTCGAATGCATAGCTTTCTACAGCATTTTATTAAAATATATACTATGTTTCATGGCTATCTGTTAAAGGGTTAAATAAAACATTACTGTAAATTATAAAACAAAATATACGCGAGGGTGTTTTAAAAACTCGAATAAGAGGTATTTTTCAAACTATAACAGATGGTTTTTTAATAGTAAACATAACACGTGGGCAGTATAAAGAATGATCGTCAAAGTTCGTCGACTTTTCACTGTTACAGTAGCAATGCGACTCGAGAGGCAAATCGATAACACACTAAATATTTATAATATAATACATTATATAATGTATTGAAATATTCTCAATTACTTTCGAAACGTTCTACTCGCAACGAATAAATAAAAGCAAGTGTATAGTAAAAATAAAGTGATGTCATTTTTACGAAAATCGTCGATCAGCTTTTAGGAATTTGTTTTTATTGGAATCTTCGATTAAAATGGGAAAACTTATCACCAAAATTAAAAATAAAAACGTAAAATACGTATCGAGTTAAAAATGAAACTATTTCAAAATAAATCATATTTGTATGGGGAAAAACGAAGTACACTTTATGTGATGATTTATAAAACTACGGTAAAAAACAATTGTTGTTAATATTTTAAAGAGTTGATTACTAGATTCATTAATCTGTCGGGAACAAAAAAAAACATTACATTAATCGTATACAATTGTCATGTTTACATTAATGTTAAGTTCATTGTAAAATCCAATGATACACATGACGTACTGTTCCACTGAGTTGTTTAATTAGACGGAAAAGAACAGTATTAGGTGTTTGAAATCTCCAAGATAGCGTTCATTTTACTTAGCGTGTGTCTCGAAAAAGCTCGAAACACTTTAAGTTCAAAGGATTTTAGCTTAATGATGTGCACCAGTGAAGCTTTGAAGCTGCTCTTAATCTAATGTCCACTTCAACTGAGCGATACCGCTAAGCGGTTTAGACAACTGAACGTTTTTATTTTTGTCCTGTGTACATCTCACTTAAAACATTCTATCAGATATGTTACATGCGCCAAGTATAATATTTCACCTCTGGAAATGTCTCCATGGTATCCTTCACTATGTATACTAACTGTAATATGCTCAAAATGCATTTATTTTAACTAAGTAATGTTTAAAGTAATCAAAACGTGCACGCCACTGATTACGTTTTAAGTCTATAACCAGTACAAAAATGATTACAAAGAACCTTAGTTTATAAAACTGCAAAATTAAATTATAACCATGTATTAAATTAAAAAACTTATTATTTATAAAAACCATATTATTATTATTATAACTCATGAATGTTAATAACTCAATTATTTATAACACATAAGTGTATTTAATTAAAACTGGGTTACTTTTTTTATTACAATCTACATTGTTAAACGGGGAAATAAGCTGTTTGCTTATCCTAGACACACATTCAATACTAACTGTACAGTCTCCATAAAAAGAGGATTGAAAATCACCTGGGATTTCAACCGCATTCGGTAGTAATAGGTATACCCAACACTGGAAAGATTTAAATTACAAAGAAAGCTGTCTCTAGCGTTTTTACAGTGGAGTAAAAAGAATGCTGACTAGGTGTATGAAGATACGTAGATAGTAGACATTTACCTACTACACACAAGGGTCGGTATCTATTCGTTGCCTTGCAACAACCTTGTAGCTCGGGACGCCGACGCTTAAACTAAATTATATATGCAGCCGGTAAGGTACAAATAAACAACTTGTTCGTGAAAACCCCAAAAGCTTTGTGTAATAAATGTTAACTCCCAATTGGATTGAAATGGTCTTCTTAAAAAAGTCCCTGTTCTACCTACACGTTTCTGTTTTTAAATAAACCCATACGATATTCCGAGTTAATGAGACATCGTAGTTCAGATTCTGCCAATCGATAAAATTTTAATCTTTGTTTTTTGGTTTAAAACGAGCTATATTATTTATTTTAAAAAAGATCTGGATTACTTACCAGTGTGCGTTCTGAGATGTGCTTTCAAATGCGAACTTTTTGTATAAACTTTTTCACAGCCGGGGTATTTGCATTTATGTATCTTTTTAGATGCATCTGGGGATAAATGTAGCCGAGGATGGTATGCTGCAATTGACACTACTGGTACAGGAGGATCGGATGCCGTCACATTAACGGCTGTCCGGGTGTTGCTTAAAGTGGCCGGAGCAACAGTCACTTTAAGAAGACCGGCAGTGGTGGTACCAGTAGAAGTTGTCCCACTAGTTGTAGTGTTACCGGCAGTAGATGAAAAGGTCTGCACGGAACTGACCGAATTTGAAGAAGAAACCGATAGAGTAGATGACAATGAAGACGATGGTGACGATGAAGACGCAGACTTTATAGGTATTGCAGGAGGCGGTGGAGGTAATTCCGTTTCGTCCGGGGGACTAGGAGGAGGTGTTGCGAATCCTGACCAACACGTCGATGGTGAACTACTGCTAGAAGTCATACTACTAGCACAATCCAAGCCCACTTCAACTTCAACTCTTGTTGACCAAGTTGTTAACCATGGTGATTCTGATCGCGTTGGTGATGAAACCATTGGTTCTTCTTTCAGGTAACGTTCCATCTCGTAACAAGTCTAAAAAATTAACATAGAAAGTTAGTAATAATGTAAAAAAAATTATGCCTTAAATGTTATAAACTATAATTATCGTATTTATAATCAGGCTAAAAATATAAACTGCTTATTATGAAATGTTTTATTTTGTATTAGTTGTGTAATAACAATAAACATTGTTATTAAACTAAAATAATGTGAATGTACTTAAATGACATCATTAAGAAAATTTGTATTTATTTTTCTTTATAAAAATTATTTTCGTTATAGATCTTGTTTCCACCTTTGTCACGTTTCTCTCTATTGTTGTATATTAGGATAAGTTTTCAAAGGTATCTTATATCAATTATGTTAAAATTACTTAAAAAATTGAAATGTCAGATTATTTTCATTTAAAACTTATTAATGTCAATTTTTTTATTTACATAATTTTTAAAGTATTCCGTCAAAACGATCAATACTGTAAAGATTAACGGAAAGGGTTTCATAAACCTGACAACAATAAAGAAAATACAGTTATACTGAATTATGACTGTATTGAATTATATATTACGTTACGATGTTTAAAATTGAACGAAACTAACAACTGTCAAAAGTCTTAATTTGTCATTCATTCCTTTACTGTTAATGTACTTGAATTTTTTAATTAAACAATAGTTTTTTCGTTGATGAGATAGTAATGTTTTTTACTTAGAAAAAGCAACAATTATAATGAATAAAAAATAAATAATTGCTTTGAGTTCACAGCGCGAGGAGAGAGTTCCGTTAAACAGAATTAACATTGTAGTTGACTCTGTATTATTTCGCTTTACTAAACTTCCCTTCTACTGAGACGATCAACTATATTCGAACTCAATTAAAAGGAAACTGTCAAATGCTTCTCTGTCGATTCAACATTCTGTATAAGAAACAAAAAAGTGCATACAAATGTACAGAGCTCATAGGAATTTTGTTGTTGTGTATTGATAACGTACATTTATACATAATGGTTTTTTGTTGAGTCTTAACGAGCCGCGAACTCTATGTTCTACGCTTGTTGAATAACTTAAGACGTTCAGAGAAAAAGTAAACAAACAGCGTGCAGAAACCCAACCACTATTATTCACCCTTTCTCTTATTATTAATCTTCTATCCAAATCTGTTTTTGCCACACACGAGAGACTGCAGATGCGCATCGTTATTTTTAAAATGTATACACAATGTACACTTATCAGTATGTACGCGACGTATGTTCTGAATAGGAACGACTAATATTAAGCACGATCGGGTTCGAAAATAAACACTTAAAAACACTCAATCAATACCCTAAAATAACGAATATCATATTGTTTATGATAACAAACCGTATAAATAATAAAGCAATACAATTATAATTGTTAGGGCATTATTTTACTCCGGAGAAATTCTTATCGTTAAGCGTATCGCATTAAAACATGCGAATAATACCAAAACCTGCACTGTTGGCATTTGATCAGAACGGACCCAACCGGAGGAATGACACCGTCGTGTAGTTTCGCAATACTTGTTTCATTTACTTTTTTCGCCGAAAACAAATCGACTCGAAGGAGAGGGGGTATTTTGACGCATCAATCTCCCCTTTACTTGGCCATTACGGCCGCGAATCTGTTCGTGCTCGATTACGACTTGAAATTGAATCCATATTTTATTATAAAGGCTGCCAATCCGCCTGGTGACGGCCGTTTTGTCCAATGGCAAATAAATCACGGGCCGATAATACCCAAACGCAGCAGCTGGCCACGGTGAGATAGGCGAACGACAGAGAATTTTGTTTCACGTGAGTAATTCGGGATAAACGAAAACAACAGTATTAGAATAGTTACAAAATGACCAAAGTCCTCGTTGTTAACAAATGAATATGCCGTCACAAACACAATCTCAGCGTTCGAGGCTAACGTAGTGTGATCCGATACTTTCTCAGAAATTCGATACTACCTCTTGTCCACGAAGCCATGCATTGGATTTTCGGTATTCGTTGCACGAACTGCCCCCTCTATCTTTGCATTGCGTGTGTTTGTGTTTTTATTGTCGTTATTCAGATCACGTGCGATCCTCTAGACTAGTTGTCCTTTGTTTTTGTGCTGACGACAAAAGCTCGGTGGAAACTTTAAATTTGCTCGATGTCAATCGGGTTTACATTCGACAACTGAAATTGGCGATGGGTCGGAGTGGGAGGATAAGCAAAGGGCTCTTGAACGAGTATATATTTTCTAGTGTTGTGTTTTTATTACTTAAAAAAAAAAATCAACTTGTCCATCACCCCAATGTTTTTTTTTTCTAATTAGGGCAAGGAAAATGTGCCGAGCTTTTAGAGACGATTTCATCTAATTTGCAGGGGAGTATCAACCCGATAACTAGAAAACAATCGTCTCTTAAAAGGCCGTCGGCAAATGAATATTAAATGAGATATAAGTATATGGAATTAAAATAATTCTCTTAAAGTGGCAACGCAGACTATAAAGCTATTTTCTTAAATGACATAAGTACTATACAAGTATAATTATTATGTTAATCCAATGTGATAACGATACCTTTAGAACGACAATATGGTAATATTATGCGAACCGGCTTCAGACAAGAGGAAATACACCTTAACTTAGTAACATAATGATCGCAACAAAAGCGATGTAATATATTTTTTTATAATATCTACAACCGAGAAAAAATACTTTACAAGATGCTCTTAAATTTAACGTCACGTAAAAATGAAATTGTTTTTTTTTAATATGGTTTGTACTAGGTTTTCTTTGTTAAAGAAATTTTTATTTTGACAAACTACATTTTTTATAGCAAACAAATAAATAAATTAATAATTATATTTGTGTGTTGACCCTTACAACAGTGGTGTTTTTGTCAACAAAACATAGGGTATACGCTCTATCAAAGGTTTTTGAATTCAAAATCGAAGGTAGCTATGACCTTTTTCATTCAGTTTCTATAGTGTTAAGGGAGAATTCATAAAAAATAAAAATAGCAATAATAATTACATGTTTAGTATACAAAATGGAAGGGAAATAATATATCTTTTTGTGTTTAACGATATAAGAGCATAAACTTGCGTATTTTACAGAATGTAACGTACATTCTGTAAAGTTTTTAAAAATTGAAACCTCAAAACACCAATGGTAATGGACAAAGTTCTAAGGGGTGAGGTGTCTTAGTTCCATTATATGCATTGTAATATAAAAATATTTATTTATTTTTAATTAAATTCAGGATCCCGAAAAAATTTTCTCAGGCAAATTACTACCCTGTTATACAAATTTAGATATTATAAAATACTGTACTTATTAGTAAAATAGTACAACGAGTTTGACATGTTTTAAACATTATCAAAACGTTAACGTTTATTAGAACAATGTTGATTTTTCAATGTCATAAGCCTCATGTCATATACTTAGAATATAAAAATGAACATAAAGAATAAATACATAATATTTTATGTGAAAGTTGTGACATAATAAGTAAAAGTTTCAATATTTACGCGGAATTAAAAATCACGTTAAATTTAAATTATCCTATTGATCACCAGAAATCACGTGGTTTAGCTACGTAATGCAATAATGCTTTTCACTATATTTTTGTTTGGAATTTTAAAAGCGATTAATATTTGAAAAAAATATAACGTATTATAAACAATACAAATCACACAAAAATCTTAAAATAATCACAATTGAATATTTATGTTAAATAAAAATAAAAATTCACTATAATATTTAACAAAACGTAATTTTTCTAAAATTTATTTTATTCTTGAATTTTGATTTTCAATTAAAAAAAATAAAATTTGCAATCACTTAACATAATAACAACGCCAAAGTTTATTAGCGCAAAACAATTGTCATTTATCTAATTCATCGTAAAAATGTACAAATTTCGATAAATTATTAAAAAACAAATAAATATAGTATTACTTATATTCACAAAGATTAACAATTTATTTATGATTATTCCACGTTTTTTTTCAATGTAAATTTTTAGTTTATTTAAATTAGAAAACTTTATAACATATGAAATTCAATGCATGTAACAAGAACCACTAATATGTATTTTTACAACATATTGTATTTTAAACATTTAATTGTGGTCTACATATAAATTCAGATTTAACAATTTAATATCAAAACTAACTTCAATAACAAATTTTAGTCGAATCATTCAGAGCTATATCCTATTTTAATTGTTATGTTCAATAAATAAGCCATGTTGTTAGCGTATAACTGAAGCAAAAATGGCTTGGTAGTTTGGAAGTCTAGGTGGTGTTGTTGAGTGTATAAAATTTGGAGGTGAAGATGAATTACAGAAAAGGCTCGAGTTCCCTAATTACGGAGCACTTTTTTCGATGTGGTCAACAATAGAAGCCCGTGCACATTCAGCTAATGTTCCTTTACCGAATAACAAAGGGGGGGGGGGCGCCACCCGTTTANCATCTACAAATTTTTTTCCTTAACAAAAAAAAAGGGGGGGGGGGGGGCGCCACCCGTTTACAAACGCGCGTAGAAGATTCTCTCTGGTAGTGGCGCCAAAACAAACCTCTAAACCGTACGGACTCCAACACGCTTGGCTGGCACCAGTCACTCAATTTACTTCACCCCATGCCATCCTTTCATATTTTATTGTTAAATTTATAAATAGATAATACATTATACCATGAATGTTGAATTTGCTATCAATTGATGCGTAACCGCCCACGCGTTTTATCTCCACATAATTTAGGTGAATATTTTGTTTTGTATTATCTAACAATTGAACGACTAAGCAGTTTTCCAGAGGTTCTAATGACTCAGTAGCTGACACTTTTGTTTAAGGCTATATGCAGAAATTTAAGTGTACCAACGGAAAGTTTTAATTAAAAACTAGAAAAAAAATAATTAATAATACGTTATGTAAAGCATAACTTTTGTATTGTAAACATTGAATAGGTTGGAATTTTTGATACACTCGGAAAGGCCTATTTAAGAGTTTTATGTACTAGCCAAGGGAAATAATCTCCGTTTAGTTTA